TTAGGGTTTAGGGTTGGAGTTTAAGGATTAGGGTTACGGGTTGGAGTTTAAGGCTTAGGGTTTAGGGTTGGAGTTTAAGGCGTAGGGTTACGGGTTAAAGTTTAAGGCTTAGGGTTTAGGGTTGGAGTTTAAGGCTTAGGGTTACGGGTTGGAGTTTAAGGCTTTGGGTTTAGGGTTGGAGTTTAAGGCTTGGGGTTTAGGGTTTAGGGTTGGAGTTCAAGGGTTTAGGGGGTTCTTTCGGGGTTTAGGGCTTAAGGCTTAGGGTTTAGGGTTTAGGGTTTCCATTGGGGCTTACGGAAACCCTAAACCCTAAACTAAACCCTAAACCCTAAACCCTAAACCCTAAACCGTGTCTATCCCCAGACCCCTGCCTTGGAGGAGCTGGTAGGCGAAGTTCTTGATGATCTTCCCACCTTGGGTCGGGACGAACCATTCATAGAACCCGAGAGGTTTAAGGTTTAGGGTTTAGGGTTTAGGGTTTAGGTTTTAGGGTGTAGGGTTTAGGGTTTAGGGTTTAAGGGACGCCTGAGACACCAAAACAAAACGGAAAAATCTAAACTTAAGGGTCGTTCTCTACATTTGGGTCCCTGTACAAGGCCCCCAACATAGTACGGCGCCCTTGTCAAAGGGACCCTAAAAGGGACCCTAACTTAGAGAACTACCCCAATTCCTGAAACTGGACTCCTTAACCTAAAGTCTGAGTCTCTTTCAGCCTGCAATCCCTACGGTTGATGATGTAAATCCTGCACTACCCATACAAAGGAACATACCATAACTCCCCCAGTTTAGGGTCCTTAAGGTAATGCAGGATGTATATCATCAACAGTAGCAGAGGAGCCTGAAGAAGGGGCATAACATCATTCCCGAGCCTGCTATAACTATACTTAGAGGCCCAGGAAACTTAGTAAGTCGGTTATACATCGGATTATAATTCGGGAGTAACTCCATTTATGGTACTTATGACTCTACTTATAACCTACTTACTAAGTCCCCTGGGCCCTGGGCCTCCAAGTAGTTGAGAAGGCTCAAGGGCCCTAGTCTAGCTATTACAGCCGTTATAAAAAGAAACTGCAGATATCTTTAAACCTTAAAAGGCTACAGGCCCCCCAAAACGATCAACAAAATCTTATCTACAATCTACAGCCCCTATGAAAAGAAACCGTAGAAATCCAAAAACCCTTTCAAAGGCTACAAACCCCACAAGGAGATTAAAAAGCCTATCATCCTGAAATCCTTAAACCTTAGATAAAAACTTTAAAAGGCTACAAACCCCACAGGAAGATTAAAAAGCCTATCATCCTGAAATCCTTAAACCTTAGATAAAAACTTTGAAAGGCTACAAACCCCACAGGAAGATTAAAAAGCCGATCACCCTTTTAAATCCTTGCAACTTGGCGTCCCCAGGGTAGGCCCTGCTTCACCAGCCACCAGAAGGTGGACCTCTCCACCACCTCTGCCCAGGGGCTTCTTTGAAGGATCCCGTACGAGTTCGCTTTAAAGGTTCCATGATTTAGGGTTTAGGGTTTAGGGTTTAGGGTTTAGGGTTTAGGGATCGTGTAGGGTCTTGTAGGGTTTAAGAATTTCGGGCTCGGTTTAAGGCTCTTGCAACTAGGGTGGGGTCCTTCGCTGCAGAGGTTAGGTTACGGGATCTCTCAGGGTGTCGAACCTGCCGATATTCGGAATTGGGGTGAAACCTCGAACAAGCAACACGGCGACCTCCATAACCATCACTGGCAGTGCCAGCAAGAACATGAGCAACCAGCACCGACAATGCCATGGTAAACGCCCCCACTAGCATTGCAACAACTGCACCACTGGGGAACCACGAAGCCCCACCATCGCTTCCGTAGGCAGCATCGGCAGCCCTAGAAAGTCTCCAAAGGCGAAAAGGTAAAACCGAAAATCCCAGCGAGCCTTCAACTTCCAAAGAGTCTAGAAGGTTCTGAGTATGAACCCTAACACAGAATGTACAGCGACCCAAGTTTTGGGGGGGTTTAGGTAGGGTTAGGGAGCTTAAACGCAGAATACCCTTGGAACCCTAAACGACCCTCGCCCCCGAATCTAAACTCTAAACCCAGGCCTGCGACCCCGGCTGGGTCTTGAAAAGGAAGTGGGTCAGCGAAAAGCCTAGCGGAGTCCAAACAAGCCCTCGACTTATGGCCTAGGGCGCAGGACTCAGAGCGCACGTGACTTTCTGTCTTTGTGGTTTGGGGTTTAAGGTTTCATTGATTTTTTGGCATGCCTAAAAAATCAAATGAGGCATGCCTAAAAAAATCAAATCGAATCAGGTACTGCGTCTTTGTGGTTTGGGTTTTAAGTTTCGCGTTTTTCTTTCTAGGGCACAGGAACAGGGTCCCGGGCTTTCAGACCTACCGGTTTACATCCTCCTGCCAGCACCCTAGACCCAGGATTTTGGCAGTAAGACTCGCGGCTGAGCTACTGGATACAAGAAGAGTCGACGCACCCGGCGAAGTAGTATTGACGTTCCTTTCTAAGCTTGAAGCCATGGGCCCGTAGTATGGGCCCTTAACCCTGGGGCCCTTATATACCTACTATATACCCTATATGTACCCTTAAGGGACCCTAGAACCCCCCTACTTGGAGGGTCGGGAGACTTAGTAAGAAGGTATTAAGTAGACTTATAAGTACTCTAAACGGGACCCTAATTGGGGTTAGAGTACTTAATTCCATTTACTAAGTCCCCCGACCCTCCAAGTAAGGGCCCATATCAGGGCCCACACTTCTAACCTTGGATCCTTGTGGTTCGAGGTTTAGGGTGAGCAGCTTCTTGCGGCCTGCTGTGGGAATGCATCGCCGTAACCGCCAACGGCGCAGCTTGGGCTTTTAGGGTTTAGGACTTAGGATTCTAGGGTTTTATGGTTTAGGGCGTGGGGTTTTAGGGTTTAGGGCTTAGGAGGGCTTAGGGTTTTAGCTTTTCTTTTTGAGCCCCCTTTTTCTCGTCCGCAATAGCCTCCAGGGTTTGAGGGTTTAGGGCTTAGGGTTTTAGGGTTCCGGATGGATTGATTGATTCATTGATTGATTGCTTCATTGATTGATTGCTTGGTTGGTGAGTTGGTTGACTGATTGACTGATTGAACGACTGACTGATTGAATGACTGACTGATATTATTGATTGACCGACTGACTGATTGAATGATTGGTTGATTGATTGATTGATTGATTGATTGATTGATTGAGTGAGTGAGTGAGTGAGTGAGTGATTGCTTGACTGGCCCACTGATCTATGGTATTTGCCAGAATTCCAAGTAAACCCTGAACCCTTAACCCCTCAACCTTAAACCCCAAACCCCAAACCCTAAACCCCAAACCCCAAACCCATAAACCCCTGAACCCCTGAACCCTAAACCCCAAGCCCGAAACCACTAAACCCTAAACCCTAAACCCTAAACCCTAAACCCTAAACCCTAAGCCCTAAACCCCAAGCCCGAAACCACTGAACCCGAAAGCTAAACCTTAAGCCGCAGCCTTCGTTCTCGAAGACCAGCCAGAGCTCCTGAAGAGTCTCTGGAGATCTTCGAACCGCTTGGGGTTTAGGCTTTAGGGTTTAGGGTTTAGGGTTTAGGGTTTTTCGGGTTTTTGGTTTAGGGTTTGGGGTTCTGAAATCCTGCAGTCGAAACCCTAGAACCCTGAAGCCTAAAGTAGTCTCATTGAAATCTGGGCTACAGATTTTCGAGTTAGGGGTTGTGGCCGAAGGGTTGTTGTGGCAGGCAAGGAGTGCCGAAGCTGTTTTTTCGAAGCTCAGGCCCATCGGACCAGGCTACAGGGTTTTAGGACTTTGGGGCTTTAGGGCTTTAGGGCTTTCGGGTTTTAGGGTTTGGGGCTTTGGCATTTAAGGGCTTTTGGGCTTTCGGGTTTAAAGCTTCAGGGTTTTTAGGGCAGAGGATGTTGTGTTGCACTCCGTCTCCCTCCTGCACTATGTCGCTGTCGGAAGGCTTGGAGACCGGGAGATGCAACACAAACTTCACTTAGCCACGGTTTAGGGTTTAGGATTTAGGGTTTAGGGCTTAGGGTTTAGGGTTTAGGGTTTAGGGTTTAGGGTCACTTCATCCGAAGCAACCCTAAACCCTAAACTAGAATAGCAGAGGTCGGCTCGACATCGGACGTCGTACCCGTTTAGGGTGACGCTGACCCAGTCACACCAGGGACCTTAGGCATAGTACAGGGACCGTAGTATTTCAATAGGGTGTTAGTGCCCATTATACTAAAATCTTAATAAGGAACCCCCAAAACCCTGTTCCAGCAACTAAGGCCCCTACATTATGGCGCCAGACCCTCAACCCTAAACCCCAAGTCCTCAGCCCTAAACCCTACACCATAAACCGTCAACCCCAAGCTAAACAGACAAGCTGACAGAAGCCTCCAGCCCTAGAGAAGGAAGAGAAAGAGAGAGCGGGAGGAACCATACTATTTGGGGGTTCTTTATAATGTTCATAGTACAATAAACCAAAGACCCTATTCCCATTATTAAGGCCATAGTATGCATGTGCATGCACGTCATGTGCCCTAAAACGCAAAAAAAAACAGTCCGACCACCCGCAGAGAAGCAAGACCAAGTCGGGGAAACGAACGACGAAAAAATACACTACCAAACAACTCCCAGATGATGAAGACAAATGGAGACAAGCGTCCAAAATCCTGGAATTGTCCACCCACGCTGCAAAACGTCAGAATTCCATTTCAAATGACAAGAACTCGCACGGTATCTGCTATGCTGGAAGCAAACGACCGCTGATTTGAGAAGCCCGCATTGAAACCTAGACGCCTATGTCCTGAGCCCCTCAAGTCCATCAGCCCTGTACCCTAAACCCTTCCACCCTGAACCCCTACGAACCCCCAGAGCCCTAAACCACAAACCCTAAACCCTGAATCCTAAACCCTGAATCCCAAAACCCAAACCCTAAACCCTCAACCCCAAACCCCAAACCCTAAACCTGCGCCAGGGCCCCCTGGCGTGCTGGCGGTTGTCGCCACTGAGGTCGACCTGCTCAAATGACTCCAGGAACCTGCCGGCTGAGGGTTTAGGGCTTAAAGTTCAGGATTTAGGGTTTAGGGTCTAGGTTTTAGGGTTTGGGGGTTGCGGTTTAGGGTTTGGGGTTGGGGTCTCGGGTTTAGGGTAAGAAGCTGCTGAGAACCCTTGGTTCCAGGTGGTTCAGGTTTTAGGGGTTTAGAGTTTAGAGTTTAGGGCTTGGGATCTAGCGTTTCGGGTTTAGGCTGTCGGGTTCAGTAGGATTTAGGGTTTAGGGTTTGGGGTTGTGGTTTAGGGTTTGGAGGTATCGATTCGGCTTGGTGACAACTACCTTTTCTGCTATTCTGACGGTTCTTGCGATGATTTCTGGTCCCCTACTGTTGCCAGTAGTACTGGCATTACGACGGTTGCTTCTAGATCTGGTGCCAGGATATCTATTCCTGCTGCACTGCTGCTGGGGGGCTGTTGTTGCGGTAACCAGGATGACTTCAGCACGGCAAACTGTTTCCGATACCATGGCGATGCACAGTATGCTACGGCTAGTGCAGATGATATTATAGTGATACCTCTTGCAACTGCTGCTTCTCACGCTTTCCAAGCAGTCTCGGGGCAGATCATAAAGGCCCTATAGTCATGAGATCGGAGACTTCTCATGGTGAACCCAGAAGAGCCTAGGGATGCGTGGGATGCACATGGGACTTCATGGGGCTTCTCACGGATTCAGCCTGCTGCACGCCTAGGGTTACGTGAGGGTCTAGGGTTTAGGGTTTAGGGTTTAGGGTTTAGGGTCTCGCTTGCTAGATGCAGGCAGGGCACAAAACCCAAGATTATTGGATTCGAGACTTCGGGCTAAAGGCAGGCGTTTGGGTTGAGGGTTGTCAATTTGGAGATGTGGTGGCTAAGATGTGATACTGAGTAACTTCTGAATAACCCATTGGGCAAGGTGGCAAAACAAATACGTTTTTGGATATCTGGTAGTAACGGTTTAGGGCTTAGGGTTTAGGGCTTAGGGTACTAAGGGAAATAGGAACCCAGAAACAGAAAAGTACAACGGTATACCTGTGAACGAACCCATCGCTTCCTCTGGGTTGCAGCTTTGGGGCCCCCTTTATCTGAAGTAGCAATGATGAGTTCCACGAAGGGTTTAGGGTTTAGGGCTAAGGGCTTTGGGTTTCAGGTTTTAGGGTTTAGGGCTTTAAGTTTAGGAGTTTAGGTTGTGGGTTTAGGGTTTAGGGTTTAGGGTTTAGGGGAGCATAAGGGCTAATGATCAAGCTTGACAAATGCAGCCTACTCCTGGTTGCAGATCATGATCCGAATCTGGGGTCCTTAAACACCCCGAAACCCCAAAAACTCCAAGCCCTAAGCTCAAAACCTAAACCCTCAACCCTCAACCCTAAACCCTCAACCCTAAAGCCTAAAGCCTAAAGCATGGACCCTCATCCCTACACCCTAAGAGCCCTGAGCCAAAGCCCCGAGCCGAATCCTGAAATCCGCACACCTCTGAAGCGCAGATTTTGGCTTGCTGGCTTAAGGGGATTTAGGGGCTTTTGGGTTTCAGGGGCTTTTGGGTTTAGGATTTAGGGTTTAGGGTTTAGGGGTTTTAGGGTTTAGGGTTTTAGGGTTTTGGGGGTTTTAGCGTTTTAGGGTTTAGGGTTTTAGGGTTGAGGGTTTTAGGGTTTAGGGTTTAGGGCTTTAGGGCTTTAGGGCTTTAGGGCTCTAGGGTTTAGGGTTTAGGGGTCTTAGGATTTAGGGTTTAGGGTTTAGGATGTAGAGTTTAGGGTTTAGGGTTCGGGCCGAAAAACTCGCAACTAGCTGGCTTTCGGCTTCTGCTCGGCGGTTCGTGCCCTTATGGCATTTAAGTGCTTTTTGCGGCTTAGGTCTGGGATGCAGGGTTTAGGGAGTCCTTCAAGACCAAAAATCCATATTCTATCAGGACATGGAACCTCAAACCATGGTTAGGGTTTAGGGTTCCAGTAGGATGTCTAGGGGGTTCTGAGTTTCAGGCTTCAGGGTAAAAGGGCTTCGGGAGTGGAAAGTCAGAAAACCAAGAGAATTCATGATTCTGGGTGGCAACGGCGACGGGGTTAGGGCTTGTAGGGCTTAGGGTTTAGGGTTTAATTCTTTTTTAATGTTCGGTGGCCTTTCCCCGTTGAGAACCCTAAACCCTAAACCCTAAACCGTGGGTTCAGGGCTTAGGGTTTGGATGTTTAGGCCCTAAAACCGAACCCCCGAGACGCCAGCACCCAACAGGTGGACGACTGGATGCCTGAAACCCCCCAAAAACCCTGAAAACTGTAGATCTCAACATCCTGGGTTTAGGGTTTAGGGTTTAGGGTATAGGGTTTAGGGTTTAGGGTACAGGGTCTAGGGTTTAGGGTTTAGGGTTTAGGGTTTAGGGTATATAGGGTATATAGGGTTTAGGGTTTAGGGTATAGGGTTTAGGGTTTAGGCTCTAGTTAGGGTTCAGGGTCAGATCTGAACCATCCTGCGTTTAGGGTTGAGTGCTACAGAACCCTGAAGTGAACGGGGCCATAAGTGGATTTTTGGCCCTAAACTCTAAACCCTAAACCCTAAACCCTGCAGGAAGCCCAGACCCAACTTTCGAATCGATTTGGGGGCCGGACCCTGGGCCCAGATGGCATAGAGTTGGGAGTGGAATAGGGTTATAGGCATATTAGGGCTTGGATTCTAGAGTTTCAGAGCTTTGGGTTTGAGGGGTTCAGGAGCATTCAACCCTAAAGTATCCAAAAGCCCCGTGACACCGAAGCCCTAGCCCTAAACTCTAGACTCCCAAGCCTAAACCCTAAGCCCTAAGCCCTAAAAAATAAACCCTCAAGCCGTAAAACTCTAGACTCCCAAGCCTAAACCCTAAGCCCTAAACCGTGGCTCACATTTTCCAGCTTCCGCCTTCGAATGCCACCCCGAAATCTTCACCTCTCGGAGGCACCACGAAGTAGCTCGATGATTCGCTCCTGGGCTTCTTGATAAGGACCTTAAGGACTTAGGGTTAAGGGATTTCGGTATATTTAGGGATTCTTGATAAGGACCTTAAGGACTTAGGGTTTAGGGATTTCGGGATATTTAGGGTTTCTTGATAAGGACCTTAAGGGTTTAGGGTTTAGGGATCTCGGGATTTAGGGTTAAGTTAAGTTTAGTTTGGGGTTCAGGGTTTAGGGATTTCGGGACTTAGGGTTTAGGGCTCTAGGCTACCATACTAGGGAAAGCATAGGCTGCCCCTAATGTAAGAACCTGATTCAGAAACCAACCCTAGGTCCTTACTAGGGTTCTTTATATGAGCCCCGTCTCTTCGGGGTTATAGGGCCAGGGATTCTTAATCCCTAAACCCTAAACCCTAAATCCCAAACCCCAAACCCCAAACCCTAAACCCAAAGCTCCTAAACCCTAAACCCGGTCCTACATTATTCTGGCAAGAAGGGCCGAGGTTCGGGTGAACCACCAAAGTCCCGCGGCCGCATGAATGCACTTTTCCACCGCTTGCCCTTCCCTGGGTTGGCTTCGGGGTTTTAGGGTTCAGGGTTTAGGGTTTAGGGTTTAGGGTTGGCATGTGAAATCCAAAAAATGCTCCTCATGCGGAGTGGGATTGAGGATGTACGAGTTTAGGGTTTGGGGTTTAGGGCTTCGGATTTAGGATTTAGCGCTTCCTGTTATGATTCACAGTGCGTTCCTTGATCGAGATGCCTGCAAACCGTCGAGACCCAAGCACCAAATCCCAAAACCGGAAACCCAAAAGTCTTTCTCAGTGTCCCGTCGCGCGGGGATATACTAACTAAGTCCTTACAGAACCCATTGAGCATGCAACCCTACATATCCTATAAACTCTTACAAAACCCTGAGACCCGCATAGAAACCCAGGTTTCTCAGCGTCCCATAGCATACTAAACTTTTGCAGAAACAGAAAAACCCAGTCCTCCAAACCCTTCCACCCGAAACCTGTATAGAACCCTCACAGAACCACAAAACCCTAAGAGAACCCTAAACCCTAAACCC